GTCACCTGGCTGCTGTTACTGTTCTGCTCAGTCTTCTCTCCTATGTCTTCTGTATTTTAGAGGCTTAAATCATAGTGTCCTGGCTCTCAGTGACTCCCCTTTCACTTAAAAGGTAACAATTCACCAACATTCTCCTATTAAATCAATAGTCCATTTAAAAATTATACCTCAATATTTGGTTAATTATATAATTTCTCCTTTTAAAAAGAATTTTTTTCCTTTTATCACTGAAATAATCAGATTCTCTCTTTTTTTTTAACTGATCCTACCTACAATTAATTTATTTTGTCCTGTAACTGTCTAAGTCATGGTTCTTTGCCTCTAAACTTAGCTCAGAAATTCAGCTGGCTTGTAATGAGTTAAGTTTAGAAATCTAGTTCTCTTGTTAATCACTATTCTATTCTTGTGTCAAAGAAATCTGTTACCCTTGAAGAAACAGGTTGACACCAGAGATTCTGGTCTAGTATCTTTACACCATCAAGCTATCCTTCAAAGATACCTGGGTTGTTATCCAAATAAGTCTGGTCCACTATCTCTAATCTTGCATGTAAACTCAAACAATGAACATTTCTTAGACACAGAAGTGAAGGAGGGGGTTGTTGCTAGTCTGTCATTGCCATTTTCCAACCAATCATATTGTCCCCCATGCCTCAGCTCTGTAACCAATCATTTTGATTTCTCCATTCATGATGTTGAACTCTTTTCACCAATTATAACTTGTTTCCTACCTACAAAGTCCTGTTCTTTGTTCTGTTGTAATTGTGTCATTTCAGTCATACTCTTCGTGACCCCATTTGGGGTTTTCTTGGCAAAGATACTGGAATGGTTTGCTATTTCCTTCTCTGGCTCATTTTACAGATGAGGAAAGTGAAACAAATAGGGTTAAGTGATTTGCCGAGGGTCACACAGCTAGTAAGTGTCTGAATTCAGATTTGAACTCAGGAAGATGAGTCTTCCTCACTCCAGGCCTGGTGCTCTCTATCCACTGTGCCACCTAGCTGCCCATTTGTTCTGAACTCCCCAAAATTATCAAAGAAAGCTCATTTGGGGTGTTAGCTTTACTGAGGAAGCTAAGATCCTATTCATTGGTAAATTCATACTTTACTAATGAATTGATCATGTTTGGAAATTTGTGCTTTAGTCTACCTTAATTTTAACTGTTACACTACCTTTAACTCATAAAATAGCAATATATAAATGAGCTGGGAGACTATAGTGCCTGGTAGCTCTAAATACCTCAGCAAGGTTCAACATGTTCTTTTGTGCCCTTAAAACTATTTCTTTGTACTCTTATTTTCCAGTTTTTTAATAAGAAAAACTTCTCCTTTTGCCCCCCTTTAAGCTATCAAAGCATTCACATAAAAGTGAGGCATCATTTTACATCTTTTACAAGGTGATTTAGTTTGTATATTTACACAGTGGTTTATTTTCTGTCCAAAACTGCTCAAAGGTTATATGAAAGCCATTTCTTCAGAACACAGCAGAAAATACGTGTATTTTCAAATTTTAGTAATTGTTATTAAACCAAAGTTGTTTTCCTGCTCCTTTCAGACATCAAAATGTTGAGTCATAATAACAGTAGTAATATCGTATATCTTTCACAGTTGGTTTAAATATTTTCCTTTATAAAAAATTAATTTTTCTGACCTTTTCTTTGATAAACGGCTCCATATGAAAAGGGCCTTAAGGAGACAGTGCATCATGTTAGTTATATTTTTAATTCCCCAGTAGAGAAGTAACCTGCAGAGTCTGTGTACCAAGGCACAGAAGTGTTGGAGGGGGACGGCACCTCCTCCCGGCAACCAGTCCTTGAACCTCACATTATAGTTCATCCTAGCTTGTGGAGCAACCATTCTCAGGCTACCATTTTCAGGGATCTGTGAGTTTGGCACCCTACTCCCATGATCCCCCAACCTCTAAGGGAATACAGGCTGAATTTTCTACAGAGAATTACTCTGTTTCCTAGTGAGACTGGCTGTCCTCTGTTGCTCCAGTTGCTGCCATCCTGTAACAGAATCTGCCCTAGGCACAAGAGTTCTTAGGTCTCTCCCTACTATAGTACTTATGGGATCATAGGAGCATAGATCTTGAGCTGGAAGCAACCTCAGAGTTCAACACCCTCATTTTACAGGTGAGGAAACTGAGGCCCAGGGAAGTTAAGTAACTTGTCTATGGTCACATACATAGTAATTTTCCAAACAGGATTTGAAACTGGGTCCTCTTTTTTGCCTAAAACAGTTCTCTTTCCACTGTGCCAGTACTTCTCTTCCTGTGACCCCACCCTATAAGAACACTTTACAAAGCCCCAACAGATCCCAATTAACTTTGAAACCCAGATGGCCAGAAGCTAGATGACTTAAAGCTCGGATAAAGTGAATTTAGAAATCCTCTCCTCCTCTAGTTTTTATGGCATTGGGAGGAGAGGGCCTTAAGGTGCCTGCAGTACTGGAACACAAGGAACATTTGTGGTTCATTCATTTTTCAGTTGCATCCAACTCTTTGTGACTCCATTTGGGATTTTCTTGGCGGGGATATTGGAGTGGTTTGCCCTTTTCTTCTCCAGCTCATTTTACAAATTAAGAAACCGAGGCAAACAGAGTTAAATGACTTGCGTAGGGTCATACAGCTAGTAAGTATCTGAGGCCAGATTTGAATTCAGCTCTTCCTGACTCTAGACCTAGCACTCTATTCACTTCACCCCCTACCTGCTCCATAATGAATATAGAACATGTTAAATAAACATGTCAGAACAGGAAGGACTCTTAGAAAGATTATCTGGTCTAATACTTGTATTATGCAGAGTAAGAAACTGAAGCCCAGAGTTGAGATATAGCCTGCTATTCTTTGTTTTAATGCCTATCTTCATTCTGTGCGGTACATGGGGTGCTCATGGAGGACTAGCACCTCTGGTGTAAAGGCTTGCTGAATCCTTTTCATGGCTGCTTATCCACTTTCGGTGTCCACTTGTCACCCACCTCTCACCTGTGGCTTCAAGAAGCTGTGGCATGGGTAGTAGCCACACCCTGGTAAACCATCTCAGCAGATGGGCTAAACCAGATTGAGGGTAACTGACAGACTTCAACTCACCATCAGTGAACTAGGGAAATGTCTACCCTAAGCATGTCTTCACATCCACTTCACCCAGTGGAATGGGTGGATGAGACAAATTTGTTCTAATGGCCATGAAGGCAGTTGAGCTTAGAGCTTAGAGCTTGGTCAAATTATTTGGTGAGACATCAAAGATGTCAAGGTCATCCACTGTAACCTGGGCCATAGCCAGTCATCTTGACTTTTGTCTTGCCACTGGACTTGGATGATTCTGGAAGAGAAAGTGAGACTGACAACTTTGTGCAACTCTGCCTTCCTTAAATCCAATTCACAAGCAAGTCAAGAGATCATCTATGATGTCATTAGTTCTCTTCAAAAACAAAGGACAAGCTGTGTGACCCTGGGCAAATCACTTAACCCTACTGCCTAACCAAAAACCCTCCCCCCCAAAAACCAAAAAAACAAAGGACAAACAACAACAATCTTCATTCTCTATACAATTGATACTGCTAATAAATTCTTATATGGTCATTAGTAGTGTCTAGTTCAAACCTATGAGTTTGTGGCTTGAAATTGAGAGGGGGGAAGCTAGTCCATAGGAGGAGAAATTTCTTTGGTTCCTAGTCTGGGGTAGAGGCAAGGAGTCCATTTGAGAAAAAGTTTGGTTTGTACAATTTTGGTAATTTATGAGCCTATTTCAGAGTATGCCAACTAGAATACTTTTTACGCTGGAGAAAGAGTTAATAAAGAGCTGAGACTAACAGTGAAAAAAAAGGCGGCTGGGGGGGGCGAAATTGGTGTGGTTTTCACCCATGAACCTTTTGTCATTGCTGCAAGCATGTAGCCTTGCTTGGCATTAGATGACCCCTCATATACACTTTCAGTCTTTGCCTCACATGGAGGATATTCTCCCTTAAACTTTGTGCTGGGCTCTGAGCATGACACAAAGTTATTCAAACTTTAGATAAAACCTAAGACTTATTCCCTTACTTTTGGAACTCTGCTCATATGGGAAGAGGCTAGCATGATTGTAAACCACAGTGTTACATGATAAGGTCATTTACAGAGACATGCAAAATGTCTAAAATTCTGTAGGGAGAAGGGGAGTTCTTGACTGACCAGTAAGGTGTTGTGGAGAAGGGGTGCATTTTAGTTGGGCTTTAAATAATGGGCAGGAATTCAACAGGCAGAGGGGAGGACTTCTAGTCAATTCTTCTGATGTTGACTTCCAGTGTGACCTTGGTCAAATCACTTAACTTTTTTGGGTCTCAGTTTCCTCATTTGTAAAAGGAGACTTCAAGGCGCCTTCCTACTCTAGATCTAGACATATGTCAGTCTTCTATAAAAGATGGATGAAATTCCAGACATAGGGAAAAGCCTGAGATGGTAAAGTACAAAAAAAAGTGATCCTCTACACCAAGTTTATGGGCAAGTCACTTAAGCCTGTTTGCCTCAGTTTCCTCATCTGTAAAATGAGCTGTTGAAGGAAATGGCAAACCACTCCAGTATCTTTGCCAAGAAAACCTCAAAAGGGATCACGAAGACTTGGACATGAATGAAAAAAAACTAAGCAAACAAACTGAAAAAAAGTGAATGAATAATGAATGAATGCTGAAAGCTAGCGCCTGCGTAATTTGGTAAGTAGGAAGAAGGTTGTGAACTTGAAGAGCGCGCCGCCTCTTAGCCTCGAGAAGCTGCAGCAAGTCGGCAAACAGCCCCACTCCTTCGCGGAGGTATCCACCCCATCCCGCTAGATTACGCTCTGACTGCACGGCGCCTGCGCAGAGGTAGCGGCAGTAGCAACAGCATCAGTTCATTGACAGTATTATGCCGCGCCCTCCGCCAACCGGTCCGCCACGATCCCATCAGCCCCGCGCCTTCCGGCTCCCTGAGCATCCGACTCTCGCTCCTCGCCTCCTTTTTCCCGTCTTGCTTTGCGGCACAGCGGCTACATGGCAGCGGAGAAGCAGGTCCCGGGCGGCGGCGGAGGTGGCGGTGGCGGCGGCGGCGGCGGCGGCGGCGGCGGCGGCAGCGGGGGACGCGGCGCCGGGGAGGAGAACAAGGAGAATGAGCTTCCTCCCGCCGGGTCGAAGGGGAACCGACGATTCGGGGACAGCCTGGGCCTGGAGAGTATCCTGGGCGGCGTGGGCTCCGCCGGGCCCGGGCCGCAGTGACGACGTGTCTCTCCGGCGGGCCGGGGGGCGGGGGAGGAGGTGCCGAGGGGAGCCTGGGCTCTACAGGAAGGGCCCGAGGGCCCCTTCGTCTCCCCCCACCCCGGCCTTCCTTTCTGCCGCTACCTCGTCCTCTCTCGATCCGCGATCGTGGGGGTAGGAGATAGATGGAGGCGGGGAGGGGGAGGGGGCGCGCCCTAAAAGGCCCCGTTTTCTCCCCCAGGCCCTGGAGGGGAGCTGTGCCCGCGCGCATACTTTCTTCTTTTTCTGCTCCTCTTCCCACAGAGGAGACGACCACGATGGTTGCAAATCTCTGGCTCCTGAATGTCACCGTTTCAGTCCCTTTGTCATTGAATAGCAAGGCAGGGCTTTTGCCCACCTAGTCGCTGGTTCAGTGAGCCTTGTTCTCAGAGAACTATTTGGACAGTGGGACTTTGTTGGTTTGATTCCTCCTCCGCCGAAATTGGGGCCGATTAGGATACTTTCTAGGGTGTGGTCACCTCTTAACAAATTTTTAAAGCCTTCTAAAGGGATGTTTTGTGTATATTGGGGGTGGAGTGGGGGGGGGAGCTCAGATATGCTTGGCGGAAAAAAATTTTCTGGTTTTCTGTAAAGTGTTAGTTTTGAATTGGTGTATGATATTAGTTTGTAGCCTTTTATAAACTGTTTGAAAGAGAACAATTTCTCTATCATATCCGCTGTGATATGTGAAAGTTGACATATGGTGTGAAGGCACATGTTGGCTCTCTCCTTGTCATATAGTACTGATAGGAAATAAGGCCTTTTCTTCTTTTTTAAATAGTATAGCTGTATATTTACATTAAATGAAAGGTATGTATAGATAGTATTAGGAACTTCAAATTAATTGAATTTGAAGCCAATTAAATCTTCTGATGAGATAAGTATCTTTCTGGTTTTTGTTTTTTTCATTTTTAAGATTGTATTTGGAGTGTTCTTTTATCCATAATCTTTACTTGGATTGTGGGGACTGAGGAAATTTCTTGAAAAATATGAAATAAATGAGACTAGGAAAAAGTTGTCAGGAAGGTCAGTGTATAAACTCAAATATTTGGACATTTTTAACTAAAAAGGATTATTGAGAGAGGCCTTTTTAGAGAGGGAAAATTTGGATGTTGTAGTATTTGTAATGTTATTACTTGAATTAGTTGAGTCTGGTGCAACTTCAAATCTGAGGAAAGTCAGCTTCCCAGTTGAGTAAGAAATGTAAATGAAAGAAGACAAATCATTATAACATAAGGATCAGCTTGAAGAAATTGGATATCTGGGTCCACCTTCAGATTAACGGCAGCAGACAAAACTGGATATTTTATTGGCTATATACTGGCACCTACATTTGGATACCAGGCATCAACCTAATCGATAAATTAATATTTATTAAGTGCCTACTTTTTGTGTCAGTCACTGGACTAAGTGCTGGGGATACAAAAAGAAGCAAAAGACAGTCACTGCCCTCAGGGAGCTTATCATCTAACTGGGGAAACATCATACAAACATGTAGAAAGGAAGCTATATACGAGACAAATAGGAAATAAATAATAGAGAAGACACTGGAATTTAGAGGGGTTAGGGAAGACTTCCTTAGAAGATGGGATTTTAGTTGGGACTTGAAGCCAGAGATATCAGTAATTGGGAACAGTGGATAGAGAACATCCCAGGCATATGGGACATCGAGAGAAAATGTCCACAGCTGAGAGATGTGTTGTTCAGAGAACAGCCAGAAGTCCAATGTCATTAGAGTGTCTGGGAGTAAGGTGTAAGAAGAGAAAGATAGGCGAGGGCTAGGTTATGAAGAGCTTTGAATGTAACAAATAGAGCATTTTGTATTTGCTTCTGGAGGCAGTAGGAAGCCACTGGAGTGTATTAAGTAGGGAAGTGACGTGGTCAGACCTGTGCTTTAGGAAAATCACTTTAGTGGCTGAATGAAGTATGGATTGGAATGGGGAGAGACTTGAGGCAGGCTTACGCCCCAGCAGGCTATTGCATTAAACCAGATGTGAGGAGATGAGGGCTTGTGCTAGAATGGTGGCAGAGTCAGAGAAGGGGACATTCTGGAGGTGTAACGAAGGTGAAATTGCCAAACCTTGGCAGCACCTTGGAAATAGAGATAGTGAGGAATCCAGGATGACTCCTAGGTTGCAAACCTGAGGAACTGGGAGGATACTGTTGCCTTCTACAGTAAAATGGAAGGTAGGGGTAGGAAGTGGAGAGAGGTTTTAGGGGGAAAGATAATGAGTTCTGTATTGGGTGTATAGAGTTGAAGATATCTTCTGGATGCCCAGTTTAAGAAGTCTGGAAAGTAGTTGTTGTTGGAGGAATGGAGGTCAGCAGAGAGTTTGGGGCAGAAAAGGTAGATTTGAGAATCATCAGCATAGAGATAGTAATGAAATCCATAGGAGATGATGAGATCACCCAGTGAAATAGAGAGAAGAAAAGAGGGCCAAAGATAGAACCCTGAGGGATACCTACGGTTAGGGGATGTGATCTGGAAGGAGGATCCAGCAAAGGAGACAGAGGAGGAGTGGTCAAATAGCTAGGTCAACCAGGAGAGAGTGATCAACAGTGTCAAAAGCTGCAGAGAGGTCAAGGAGAATGAGGATTTAGAAAAGCCATTGGATTTGGCAACTAAGAAATCATTAGTAACTTTGGAGAAAGCAGTTTTGGTGGCATGATGAGATTGGGAGCTGAATTGTAAGGAGTCAAAACAGAATGAGAGAGAAAGTGGAGGCACCTATTATAGATGCTTTTTCAAGGAATTTAGCTACAAAGGGCAGAAGAGATATAGAAAGGATCAAGGGAGGGTTTTTTTTTTCCCCAGTATAGGGAGACATAGGCATATTTTTAAGCAGTGGGAAATGAGCCAGTATAGAGGGAAAGATTGAAAATAAGTGAAAGAGTAATCTGCTGGAGGGGATGGGATGGAATTGGATCACTTGAACAACTAGATGGGCTTTGTAAGGAGTAAGCCCACTTCACGTGAAACAGAGGTGAGGGAGGAGATATGGCAGAAGGCATTTGAATGGTAGGACATGAGGAAGAGGGAGTTCATAGAGAATGGCCTCAATTTTTCTGTAAAATATGAGGCAAGGTTCTCAGCTGAGAGAGTTTGTGGAGGGGCAGAGTTTGAAGAGGGATGAAGAGGTTTGGAAGAGCCTTCGTGGAGAGTGGGATAGTGAGTTGATAAAGGAGGTATAGTAGGATTGCCTAGTAGCAGTGAGGGGCCAATTGAGGTTATATAACATAAGCTTGTGGACTCAGAATGATTGCATGATTTTTCTCCACCTCCTTCAGCATCATGTGTGTAGGAGCAAAGGTGAGGAATGGTGGGAGTGATCCAAGGCTGAGGCTTGACTGGGCATAATTGATAATATGTTAAAGAGGCTAGGGATTTAAGAGAGGAAGACAGTGTAGAGTTAAATTGGTTTACCAGGGGTTCAGGAAGGGGAGAAGAGGGGAGATGACCTGGAAAGAACGAATCATTTCCCTGAGCATCTGACCAGCCTGATTTTTTTCCGCGTCTTTAGACTTGCTCTTTGAGACTAGAGTGGATATGCGTGTAGTATTAGAATAGATGTCCTTTTGTATTGGTGAAATATTTTAAATAAGCCCTACCAGTTTTTAGACAATTGTCTAAACTAGAAATTTTCTCCAAGTGGATGGGGTGGAGGGGAGGGGGGCAGTGCCCCAATGAGCTTTTAGGAAATACCAGCCAACTGCCTCAGTGGAGTTCCTTGTTTGTTTGGTAACAAAGGGAATACAAGTGAATAAATAAGTTTCTGTTTTCAGAAGTAACTGCAAAGAGTCAGATATAATAGTAAATATTTAGCTGGGTTCAAATCCCAGCTTTGTTTCTTACTACCTGTATAACCTTGAGCAAGTCACTTAACATTTTGCTCAGTTCTCTCATTTGTAAAATGAAGTTGATCCCTTCCAGTTCTAAGTCCTTAATCCTAATGCACACAGCGCTGGGTCTAAGTGGAAAGTCGGATATGTTTAGGTTTTGTTCAGGGTCCTCTTAAAAGTAATCTTCGGCACAGTGGATAGAGCTCTAGCCTTAGAGTCAGTTCAAATCTGATCTCCGACACTTGACAATTATTAGCTGTGTGACCCTGGGCAAGTCACTTAACCCCAGTTGCCTCACCAAAAAGCAAAAAAAAAAAGTAATCTTCAGTTCTTTGGTGATAAAATATGTAAAAATTGCATATTTAAGCTATTTAACAAAGTGATTGTGTAAAATAAGGAGCTATTTTTAAAGTTACAAAGTAGCATTTCAGTGGTTTAGGAGTGCTAAAGAAGTAAAGCTTTCAGCTTACTCTTGAGTATTAAATTTAAAGAGGATGGACAGAATGGACAAAGTTAATTCATAGTAGGAATATTTAACAAATAATCTGCTGGCCCACTTGTATTCATTATTTTATAGAATCTTTGGGTTGAGAAGGACCCTAGAGATCATCTAGGCTAGACCTGCACAACCTATGGCCCATGGGTCTGCTTACAGCCTGCAGGCACACCAAAGGATTTCAGGCGGCCCTAGAAAAATGTAGAGAATGTTTTCCTCTACATTTTTCTAGGGCCGCCTGAAATCCTTTGTCTGGCTACAGGTTGTACAGGTCTAATCCAGGCCAACTCCTACAAATAAGTGAATTTTCCCATCTTCCTGGGTTCGAATCCTGGCTCCAGTTACCTGTGTGACTTTATTAAAGTCAGTGAACCTCATCAATAAAAGAAAGGGATGAGAGTAGGTGGCTTTTAATGTCCTTTTTGATCTTTGACAAGTGACTTGCCTCTGCTTAACTGCTGAGGTCCCTTCCAGCCTCAAATCTGTGATCCTGTGACTTCCAGTAATAGCAAATTCAGTATCTCATGAGGCACCTCCATTCTATTTTTGAACAGCTCTAATTAAAGTAGATTCAGCAAACTTCTATTAAACATGTACTATATGTATTAGGGTAAAAAAACTAAATATGACTTAGACTCTGTCCACAAGGAGCCTAAAATCTGATGGAGGTAGGAAAAGGGATGGAGACAGGTTCACCACGAACTCGTACAGAGGGGATTGAAAGCATGAAAGAGAAGTCCAAGCAAAGTGAAATGAAAAATCTGAGATAGAAAAGATGATCACATTCTGCTGGGTTGGGGGTACATTGGGGAGTGTTATCTGGTAAGGTCTCATAGAGGATATGGGTACCTCAATTGGGCCTTGAAGGAAGGAACTTCAAATGTAGATGGGGTGGTAAGGTTTAAAAGGCCTTTATGGGTATGGAATGGGCAATGTGACAAAAAAGGATAGAAAAGGAGAGGACATGTCAAGAATGGTGAATTGGTTCAACAAGCTTTACTTGAGTACTTCCTCTGTGTCAGACATTAAGCTAGACATGGGGAGATAGATGAAAACAGTATCCTTGCATTCAAGGAACTTGGTGAGTTTGAAGAAAGCAAAGGATTCTAAGAAGCAGCTATAAGAAGGGAATGCATTGTAGGCATGGGGGTTAGCCAGTGTGAAGGTCTGCAGATGAGATATGGAATATCCTGTTAAGAAGCAGCAAAAACAGCAGTTTGGCTGGAAATAGAATATGTAAAGGAGAGTAATATGAAATCAGTGTAGAAAAGTTGATTGGAACCAGGTTGTGAAAGGCTTTAGAAACCAGTCAGAGGAGTTTGTGTATTATCCTAGTGGAAATAGGGAGTCACTGGAGTTTCTTGGGGGTAGGAAGGAGCGTAGGTAACATGGTCAGGATCATGGTTTAGGAAAATCATTAGTAGCTGTGTGGAGGATTAAAGAGAGGACATAGGTACAGATTCTAATTAAGCTATTGTAGTATAGGTGAGAGGTGATGAGAACCTCAACTAGGGTGGCACCAACTATAAATAGAAGATGGACAGAAATATTGTGAATGTAGACCTCCAAGACATGGCAAATGTATATGCAAGTTAAGGGAATGGAAAGAGTTGAGAATATCAGGTTATAAATTTGGATGACTAGAAGGATGGTAGTTCATTTAATAGAGATAATTAGGAGGAAAAATGGGTTTGGGCGAAAAGATAATGAATTCTGTTTTAGACTTATTGAGTTTGAGATGCCTGTGGTACAGTCTGTTGGAATTGTCCCATTGCTAGTTGATGTGGAACTAGAATTCAGGAGAGAGACTCATTTAAAACCCTATTCTCTGTCTTCCATTGTCAATCCTTATTCCTATTTCTCTCATCCCCACTCCCCCTTCCCCAAAATGTCTCACTCTAAAACTACCCAGCCCTTCCACTGTAGTCTCTGGAATGCCATAGGTAACAAATTTTAATTTTACATCTTTTCCTTTCCCAGTTCCTTTCATCTTCTGGCTCTCATTGAGACCTGCCTCCCTGCTGATGACATGTTCTCCCCAGCTTCCCTTTCTAGCACTAGCTGCACTTTGGCTTATTCTCCCAGTTACTGGTTGAGATGGAGGAGTTAGGATACTTCTTGCTCCCCATTGCCAATTCCAGGTTCTTCCTCTACCACCATCATTTTTTAACTTCTGTTGAGATTTATTCATACCATATCTATCATCCAATCATAGTTCTGGTGGCTGTTGTCTCCAAGACATTTCCCTTCTTTCCTCATTGAGTTCAGGCTCACAGTCTTTATTCTCAACTCTTGCCTTAATACTGGGGGGACTTCACCATACATATTGATACTTCCTCAAACATCCAAATCTCACAGTTCCTAAACGTATTTCACAAAACCTGTTTCTCCACTGCACTTCAGCCACACACACAGATAGTCATACCCTTGATCTTGCCATCTACCATAAATATACCACTTTCATTCTCCTGAATTCTGAAATTCCCTTATCTGATTACAGTCAATTGTTGTTCCACTTCTTCTTGTGCCTTGCAACCCTAGACCCTGTTCTTCATCCACACTGTGGCCCCCACTCCCTTGACCTCTCAGTTCTTTCCCAGAACATCACCTCTGTAGTAGTTACACTGCACCTCCTTTCCCCATCTTGACCTCTTGGTGAACCACTTCAAGTCTACACTGTCCAGTTCTCTTGAGTACCTTGCCTTCTTGTTGTATTGTCGATCTTGCCCTGCAAAACCTAAGCCTTAGATTACTCTAGATTACTCCCACCGTCAGCAGCCTTTGCTCCAATACTACTGTTGAATGAAACTAGAGAAAATCTTGAAACTGTGCTGATTTATCTTTATAGATTCATCTCACATAACCTCCTTACTTTCACACATCCTTAATTAACTCACTATCCGCCTCACCTTAGCAGCTCTTCCAAACGTTTTCATCCCTCCTCGGACATCCTAAGGCTCCCCCTCCTATCATCCTCTCAGCTGAGAACCTTACTTTATATTTTACTGAAGAAATTTGAGGCCGTTCGACAAGAGTTCCCTCTTAGCCCCTCATCACCCAGATGCCTTCTTCCACTGTCTTGTTGGAGTAAAAGAAGTAAAAAATGGCATGAGAGTCATATTCTTTGACTGCAGATCTGTTCCATATTACTTCCATTATTGATTTGAAGTCCTTGTTCCTCTAAAACTGCATAGAATGTCCGATCCCTTTTTTACGTGACTGCCCTTCAGGTGTTCAAAGAAAGCTATCACATCTTCCCTTTGAGCTATTCTTTCAGGTTAAACATCTCCATTTCTCTCAACTGTAGCTCCTGTGACATGGTTTTGAGACCTGAGCTTCATTATCAGTTTTTTAGTGTCTGGATTTCATCAATTTGGGAACACCCACTTTTGAAACACGTTTCATCTCTGTGGAGCAGGAACTCAGGTCTGGAGCAGAGCAAAATAAAGTGACTTGTCCATGGTCATGTGGCTGTTACGTGTCAAGGATAGGACTTTCACCAGTATTGTGCCAAACTGCTTCTTGTCTTTGTTAATATCACTTTTAAGATGTACTAGTACCTAGGGCTTTTAGGGGTAGTCTGACTAACACAGAGTACCAGTGGTATTGTTTTCTCCCTTATTCTGGTTTGAAGCCTAAGGTCTAATAAGCTTTTTTAGTAACTCCTTGTTAAGTCCTATTTAGCTTGCAGACAACTAAAACCTCCAGTTCTTTTTCATATAAAAAATTGACATTTAGATACATTTCTCCCATCTTTTACTTGTTGGTTTAACTTTTTGAACCTAAATGTGGGACATTACACTTTTTCCTTTCTTTGCTTTCTTTGTTCTTTTCTGTGTCTCAAAAAGTGACATATCAAAATGACTATTTAAATGGATTTAAAATAACGGGAACAGATTGTTTGGAATGTATTATTGTAAACTTTTCCTTAATCTTAGCTCCAGTCCTCCAAATTATTAAGGAATCTCAACAGCAACATGGTTTACGGCATGGAGATTTTCAGAGATACAGGTTAGTGTGTAATTATGTTGATAGAAAATGTGTATCACTTTGATATGCCTACATTTATTTTTCAAAATGTGTATTGCACCCCCACAAACAGTTAATTTTGCAAATTAGTCCCTATACCTAAATCTTGCAAAAAGAAGCTTACCTATTCAGTCTGATGGAATTATAGATTTCATTTGTGAGGATATTTCCTAAAATTAAAACAGCTGCAGTAATAATACATTTATATATTTTTTCATGGTTAGTGAGGTATTAGTATCCCCTTTTTATAGATGACAAAAGAGAGGCTCAGAGATTAACTTGTTATACAGTATGTATACTGCAATCCAGATTCAGTACCTAAGTTCAGTACTCTGTCCACCATATTGCACTTACCTCCAGTTGCTGAATTGACAAGATTATAACCTCAGGTTATTTTTAGTAAACTGTAGGGCTTTGGAGTATTTTGAATATTGTACAAGAGGGCAAATGTTAGGGGTGTCATCAAAGTTTATTTGTAGCAAAACTCGAATGTTGTCCTTTTTGGAAAATAAATCAGAATGTAAATAATAATATTCTATATAACAAGTTCATATTGTGTAAGACAGTATGATACTTTGGAATCATAAGTATCAATCAATTTGATTAGCAAGTATAAGGTGTCCCAAAAAACCTTAGTGCAGTTTTAAGCTTAGTCAAGCATTTTGGGACACCTTGTATCAAATGCTCTGAGCATATGTAAAAAATTATGTAGATGTAAGGTAATGGGCTTTCAGTTTTGGTAAGAGAAATGAACAAAAATTCCTAACTGACCTCTAATCCATTCCATTTATTCTGATAATACTTGCTGATTATTGAGGATTAACGGGATATTTTTAGTTAACTGCTGACTTCTTTACATAACACATTCTTCAAAGTCAAGACTCATTTGTGGACATATATGAACAGTCATGGATGTATGTTTTAGTCTGGATCTGTATTTTATAGTGGTGATACATTGGTTGTGTTTGTACTGTTATCAGTTTCATTTTTATTTTGGAAACTGAGAAAATATATTAAAATTTGCCTTACAGCATTATGTTAACTAGATATCTCTTAATAACTGGCAAAGATTATGTATTTAAAGATTTTATATTTTAGAGACAGTATGGCAGAGTGGATAGAGTGCTGATCTTGAAGTCAGGAAGGCCTGGGTTTAAATCATGACTCAAACATTTACTTAGTCATGTGACTCAGAGCAAGTCATTTAGCTTCTTTGAACCTCAGTTTCCTCATCTGTAAAATTGATATCAGTAGTACCTACGTCATAGAGTTGTTGTGAGGATAAAATGAGATAATGTATGTAAAGTGCCTTGCACACTGTAAAGCAGTATATAAATGCAAGCTATTATGTTAAAAAGGCAAATTATAAGTAAACATATTTCCTCTGAGTGCTTGAAATTCTGTTTGGTATTTATAAGTTGCCTTATGTTGTTATGTGTCTATGCTTTGTTTTCTCTATTACATATAAGATCTTTGAGGGCAAGACTGTTGTATATTTTTTTGTATGTCACACAACATGTAGCTAAGTGCCTTGTATAATTTAATAAATGTTGAATTAGTTTTGGTCGATATATAGTAAGTATAGTAATGATTTCACATAAAATGGTTTAGCCCTATTCCCTGACCATGTGAGAATACTGTTACTGCTATAAAACCAAACAGAAACTGTGCTGTCGTTTTGTTTGACTCTGATTGAGTCTTTGTCATTATTTGTAGGGGCTATTGTTCCCGTAGGCAAAGACGGCTCCGAAAAACACTCAACTTTAAGATGGGGAATAGACACAAATTCACAGGAAAAAAAGTAACTGAAGAGCTTCTGTCTGACAACAGGTATTAAGTGTTTTGGAATTCATTACTGCTTTCTAAATAATTATTTAGAATTGACATGGTGGATGGTTAGTATTTGTCAGGCTTTGGGGAACCTAGTCCTTTATTAGTTAAGATTCTAATAAGAGGCCAAAGCTTAACTACTTATTCAAGGACAAAATAAGTTCAAACTCTTCTGATTTATTTAGAGGATGTTATGTATGTTAGTACTTTTTGAACTTCCATAAGTTGGCCAGTACTATGCTAGACACAAAATAGAAATCCTTGCTTTTGGACGGCCTACAGTCTAGGTGAAGAGGTAGCATTAAGCCATGTGAAGTAGAGAACAAAACATTAAGTAATGAAGTGCTAGATTGAATATTACTGACTAAGTATTGTAGGAATTCAAAGAAAGAAGTGAAATGTGAGTTGTACTAGCCAGAGGTTTTATGCTTGATGTTGACTGATGGCTGGAAATTAGGATAAGGGAGAGAATATTCTCTAACAGGGTAACAGCATGAACAAAGTCATGGAAGTAGGTTTAAATATAGTATGTAAGAATGCACTGTGAGGAGACTCATCTTAAAAGGGAATATTGAGTAATAGTGGAATATGTTGAATTAAGTAGGATAATAAACTGGAAGACTTTGAAAGCTAGAAACAGGAAGGTTTACTTGATATGCTTGGAAATAGGATACCATTATAGACTCTTTTATTTTAAAGATTTTTTTTTAGGCTTTACTTATTTTAAAATTTTTATTGAAGCCTTTTGTTTTTACATCAGTTATTTATTTATTTCTTTATGGCAAGTCGTTCAGGGTTAAGTGACTTAGCCAGGGTCACACGCTAGTGAGTATCATGTGTCTGAGGCCGGGAACTCAGGTCCTCCTAACCTCAGGGCCAGTGCTCTATCCACTGGCCACCTAGCTGCCACATCGGTTATTTCTGTGTTTACAACTCGCAACCCTAGGAATCGAACACTCCCTTGTAACAAAGAAAAGCATTTAAACAAAAACAACCCCCATAGTGACTGTATCTGACATTTGGCCACTCTATTCTCTGGGACCCTTACTGGTTTTCATTTACACAAGAGTTCAGCTTCCTTTTAGTCCTGTTGTTCTGGTTCTGCTTATTTCGCACGAATCTTCTCATATTTATTACTTCTTACTGCACAATAATATCACGTGGCCATTAGAGGTGTTTTAAGGAAGATTAATTTGGCTGAGGATGGTTTGGAAAGATGAATAAGAAGTCGGAATGGCTGGCCAGGAGGTGTGGGCAGTGGTGGAGAGGAATATAGAGGAAGAAACAGATACAAATATTAAAGAAGAATTGATAACACTTGGTGACAGAGTAGACACAAAGATGAATTTCCTTTTTAGAACTCTGGGGCAATGAATGTTTTTAAGTTCCTCTTACCGCCAACGTGTCTCTGAAAGTAGCTCAAGGAAGTCTTCACAATCATGCTGACATTACAAATTCACGTTATTCAACCTGAACTGGGCCTTTAGTGCAGCAGGGCAGTGCTTTTTATTCCTCCCTAATTGATTTCCTGTCTCATTTCCCAAAGAAGCTATTCCAGACCTTTTCTACTCTCCCATGCCTCTTCTTCATCCCCCAGCTGAGGACTTGCCTCTTATTTTATTGAAAAAACTGAGACTGTTCCACTGTGCTTCCTCTGATCCCGTTCTCTTCATTTCAGAACCTCTTGACATCATCACCTGTTTTCTCCTCCTCTTCCCCTCTGTGACAAAGGGGTAGTCTTCCTCCTTAACAAGGTCAACCTCTATACATGTACATGTGATCCCATCCCCTCCTATCTTTTCCAGCAGATTATACCCTTACTCTTCTATCTCTTCTTTCAAGGCTTCAATCTTTCCCTATTTACTGGTTCTTTCCCTGCTACCTTTAAAGAGGTCCAGTCTTCACCTATCCTTAAAAAAAACCCTTACACTACACCCCACCATTCCCTCAAGCTAACATCTTTTATCTCTTCTCTCTTTCTTAACCAGATTTCTTTTTTAAAAAACTATCTACACTCCCAAGTATACTTCCTCTCCTTTCACTCCTTAAAACCCTTTGCCATCTGGTTTCCAGTCTTATCACTCAAGTGAAACTGCCCTCTCCAAATTTACCAATAATCTCTTAAAATGCCAGATCTGATGGTCTTTTCTCATCTCAGTCTCTCTTGATCTATCTGTTGCATTTGACACTCTTGTCTACCTTTTGCCCTTGGATGCTACTTTCTCTCTGTGTTTTTATGACACTAAGTCTCTCCTGATTCTCCTTCTACGATCATCTGTGTTATTCCGCCAATTGTGGGTGTTTTCCAAGATTCTGTTCTAGGCTTGCTTTTTGCTCTGTATGCTCTCTTTTGTTAGCCTCATTAGCTCTCATGTTTAATTATCATTGCTATTCATTGACTTACAGCTCTATATATTGTAGCCCCAATCTGTCCCTGGAGCTGCAGTCCTACCTCCCCAGCTGCCTTTTAACATTTCAGACTTGATATTTTAGAGACATCTTAAACTCAACGTATTTAAAACTGAACTCATTATCTTTCCCCCAACCTTCCCTTTTCCTAAACTTCCGTCTTTCTGTCAAAGGTATTAACATCCTTCCAGTCTCCCAGATTTATAAACTTGGCATTATCTTGGACTCCTCAATTTTCCTTATGTCAAATCATCTGCCAAATTTTGCTGTTTCTACCTCTACAACATCTCTTGCATCTCATTCCTTTCCAGTCACACAACTATCATCTGAGTTTAGGCCCTCATCACCTCTTGATTAGATTATTGCAATAGACTCCTATTTGTCTCCCTGCCCCATTCCAGTCTATCTTATACGTTGTGGCCTAAATAATTTTCCTTAAGTCTATATCTGACCATATGATTCTTCTATTTTTTCCTGTAGGCAACTCCAGTAGCTTCTATGTCTCTAAGATAAAATATAAGCTCATTTTCGCTTTCAGAGCACTTTACAACCTTGCCCAAACCTGTCTCCACTTTCCCTCTTATAGTCTGTGATCCAGCCAAGTTGGCCTCCTCTGTGTTTCTTACACATGACACTCCATGTCCCATCTCTGTGCTTTTGTTTGACTGTCCAACATGCCTGGAACCTTCCCCTTTCTTACTTCTGCCTCATAGAGTCCCTTTCTTCCTTTAAGAAAGAACTCAGTCACCGTCCTCTGCATAAAACCTTTCCTGATCTCCCCAGCTGCTGTTGCCTTCCTTCCCAAATTACCCTGTTTAACCACTTTGTGTATACTTATATTTATTCACTGTATATATGTACACTCACATTATGTATGTATATGTGTATATATGTTTGTTTATACTCTATATATGGGAATAGGGATTATTTCATTCTTGATATTGTATCCCCAGCATCTAACACAGTGCCTGGTATAGAGACAGCACTTAATAAGCACTTGTTGATTGGTTGATTTTTGAACATATTGTTTCTCCCATCTTATCTATTCTTCCTCATGTTATCCATTCTTTTTTTTTTTTTTTGGCTAGGCAATTGGGGTTAAGTGACTTGCCCAGGGTCATCCAGCTAGTAAGTGTTAAGTGTCTGAGTCTGGATTTGAACTCTGGTCCTCCTGACTCCAGAACTGGTGCTTTATTCACTGCACCACCTAGTTGCCCCTATCATCTTATCCATTCTTATTGCTGTAGATGCAAACTGTATGCCATATTATTTCCTCCTAAACCTCTGTCAGCTAGGTGGTGAAGTGGGTAGAGTGCCTAGCCTGGATTCAGGAACACTTGAATTCAGATCTGGCCTCAGACACTTAGTTGTGTGACTCTGGGCAATTGACTTAAGCCTGTTTGCCTCAGTTTCCTCATCTATAAAATGAGCTGGAAAAGGAAATGGAAAACAACTCCAGTATCTGCCAAGAAAGCTCCAAATGGGGTCACAGAGAGTCAGACACAATTGAAAAACGACTCAACAACAGCAGCAAACCTGTGTCCCTTTTCTGATCAGCCCCTGTAATATGGAAACTCTTCCTCTATCCTCAGCAAGTTCCCCTTTATCTTTTTTACCTTCTTATTTCAATGAAAACCTGGTTTTCCCCTAGGCAAAATGCTTTAGGACCTACTTCATTGGAGATATCTTCATCTGCTTCTGCAGACTTAGATGGAGGGGATTAACCTACTTCCCTGCTCCTCATTGTCACTTCCACACCATCATTCTTCAATAACCTTTCTTCTCTGAACGAAATCCATCTCTCCCATCTTATTGTTATCAACTACTGATCTCTAGATTATTCTCCCAGTTTTCTGAATGAATTTAGTACCTGACGTAGTCCTCTCTGTTCTGCCCCTTCTGTCATCCTTAAGGATTTCAGTATTTGTGTTGTTGACTCTCTCTAAAATCCTGATCAGTACAGTTATTCAAATTCCAACTCCACGTGCTTCTTCATTCAACTTCATTTACATGTCAGCATGATCACACCTTGGACCTTACCATTTCATAGTATACCACTTCTGAAAATTTTGAGAATTTTGAAATTCTACTCTCTAACCACAACTGCCTGTCCTATCTCTCATTCACTCATGCTAAACCTAATAGGTGCCTGTATCAGGACCTACTGTCTTTTGACTCATTCCCTACTTTTCTAGTCTTTTCCTTCCTTTTGACTCCATTCCTTATTTAGCCTTGACTATGAAATCTAGTACTCTACTGTTTCACTAGTTCACACCTTAGAATTACTCTGTTCTCACTCACTGTGTTCCCTTGCTTTCCTCATTCCTGGGTAATAGCTCTTATCCAGTTTCTTCAGTTCTCATAAACTGCTGAGTAATTCTACAGAAAGTCATGAAATCAGGCTGCTTTCACTCACTATAAATTTATGGTAGATAATGTCACTTGGGCTATTACTGTTCTTCAGCAACCCATCAAGTACTCTCCAGCTCATTACATAACAGTGATTGTTTCAGACTTTATGCTCTTATAAAGTCTGCAGCCCCACTGCTCCACCACTTACAACTTTGGTTTCTATTCCACTAGGTTAAGACCGGAATCTAAAGGGAGCTCCCTCAGATCCTCCCATCCTTAAAAATTTTCAGCAGCATTACTCACTTACTTCTCTGTTGCAGTCATAGAAGAATCAATGTCCCTTTTCTTCCATAAAGCTAATTCATTTACCCTTGTCTTTAATCTCTTCTCTTTATACATCTGAAAGGACCTTGTTCTAGCAGTTGTTCCTTCTTACACATCTTGCTCCAATTACATGGTTAACAAAATAGCCCTTCTTTAGACCTCTCACCCTTTCTTCTTGTACTGAATCCCTGGCCAACTTCCAATCCATACTTCATAATGTAATCAGCCTTATCTTTTTTATGCAAATCATTTAACCTCATTAGGCCTCTGTTTCTTATATAAAATGAAAGACTCTAGACTCTTTGATCTGGTTGTGCTATTCCGGCTCAAAAACCTTTATTGATTCCCTGTTGTCTACTGAGTAAAGGTTACCCTTGCCAAGTATTCAAGTCCCTCCACAATCTGCCATCAGCTTTATTTTCTTCATACTGTTTTCCATCTTGAACTCCAAGATCTTGATAGTGTGAACTCCTCTGTACTTCCAGACATGTTCTGCATATTCCTGCCTCCATATGTTTGCCCTCAATGTTTCCTCTGGCTGGAATGTTTTTCCTTTTCTTCTACTTTGCCTATTGAATTCCTGTCTAGCCTTCAAGCTCAACTCAAACACAGCCTCTTCTGTGAACCTTTCTCCCTTTGTGACATCAGGTAGCAATTGTACATCTCTAATGGATTTGTGTTTTATTTTGTATTATAATATCTTTGTGTCTGTCTGCTAGACTATAAGCTACGTAAGTCAAGTCAGCAAGCATTTATTAAGTTCCTAATGTGTGCTAAGTGTTCGTGATACCACGGGGGTTGGGGGGGGGGGCAAAAAACCAGTCCCTGTTTTCAAGGACTTAACAATCCAGTGGGAGAGGTAGCATGCCAAAAACTATGTACAAACAATATATAGACAGGATAAATTGGATTTAGTCTTACAGGGAAGGCACTGTCCTGTCTTAAGTTTTGTATGTTTCTCTTGGCTAGCAGAGTGCTCTGTTCACATATTAGGTACTTGATAAATAATTGCTTGCTAAGTTGTGTGAGGGAGAGCTGGGTTATTTAGAGAGGATAAATTTTTGAGTGGATTGTAGTAATATCACTGGAGAAAAGTTCGGAGAAAGTTAGTTTGAGGGTAAAGAAGATTTGCATTTGGGTTATGTTGTATTTGTCCCAAAGAAAATTTCTAGTAAGGTAGATGAAGAGATCTAGCTGAAGCATGTAAAGTCAGGACTAGTGAAATTTGGCAGTCAGTACTTGTTTGAAATTATAAGGGTAGATGAATTTCTTGAGGGAGAAGTATAAAGATCTGAGAAGGGGACTTTGGGGAAATGTATTTAAACCTGATGTTCATGCCCTATTTTCTCCTTCATTTCCCTTTTTTTCCTCCTTAACAACTCTCTCTCCTTGTCTCTTCTGTCTAGATACTTGCTTTTGATTTTGATGGATGCTGAAAGAGCCTGGAGCTATGCCATGCAACTTAAACAAGAAGCAAATACTGAACCTCGAAAACGGTTTCATTTGTTATCTCGACTTCGAAAAGCTGTGAAGCATGCTGAGGAGTTGGAACGTTTGTGTGAGAGTAATAGGGTGGATGCCAAGACTAAACTTGAGGCTCAGGTTAATGTCAGCGTGAAGTTTTGCTTTATTGAGTAGAGGAGAGGATAACTGTTGGTTTGGGTTGTTTTGGTTTTTACTGAATAGAGTTTCACATGTTATAAACTTTAAACCATAGAACTATAAAACTATATGTTACAAACTCTAAACTAAAACATTTAGGATTAAACTAATTGTTCTGACTTTTTTAGAAGGTATTAATTGGAGTTTCTTGGGTTTTTGATAATAACTTAAGTAACTGACTTTTCAGAGGTAGTGCCTTCTTTTCATTTGGTTATAGGAAGCTTTTTTCTTTTAGCGTTCTGACAGGTCAATAAGAAATAACCATATATGAGGGTACTTTTTCTTTTTTTTGAGAGAGAAAGAGGATGAACATTTCTATTTCATGGTTATTTTAAAATGACCACAAAATAACGTTTGATCTCATTTGAGCCAGTTAGTTGTAAGGTAAATTTTTCTTAAAGTTTCCCATTAATACAACAGAATTGCTAAATTGGAAAATAAATACCATGCAATTATGACATGTTCTAGGTTTCATAATCTCTTTGGATTAGATTATTGTTTTTAGTAAAGAATGAGTGATGAATATCAATTTTTGTACTAATAAGTAAATAGGCAGACATTCGTTTCCAACACTTGATTTTGTGAAGCATTTTGATTAAGTTAAACTTTATTCCCTGCAAACTTTTAGGCTTACATGGCTTACCTAACAGGAATGCTACGCTTTGAACATCAGGAGTGGAAGGCAGCAATGGAGGCTTTTAACAAATGCAAGTGAGTCTTCCTTTCCTCAAGCTGTTTTGGTTTTAGTTGGTTATAATTAAATTTAATACATAATTTCTTATCTAGTTCTGTGCTTGGTTCTATAGCTGTTGGAATAGTTCCTTTTCTTTGATTTTATAGTACATTCATTGTGGGAGTGAGCAACCTACAGCTGTTATAGCACCCTATAAAGAAGAAATGGAGTAAAGAATGCCATCAGAGAAATGTATATTCAAAAAAGATAGGATGGCTGTATTGGCAAGAGCAAGGGACAGCCTCTGGACAGTAATGTTTTTTATTAGTATCCTTGTGATGTCAGGAGAAGGTGGGGAAGGAAGGCCTCTAGCACATTAGATTCACTCTCTGTAGTGACCTTCTGGGAGGACATGGTCACAGGTTGTGGTTGTATAGGAAGGGCTGGAATGGATAGGTTGTAAGCATTGGAGGGAACATCCATTTTGATGAGCTCACAGATCATTTTGAATACAGCATACTAATTTTGCTGTGTTGTTGCAAAAACTTCTGCCATGAATTAATAGCTTTCTAAAAAGATTTCTATAGTTTTCAACCTCTATCCTAGCCATGATTTTTTTTTCAGCATAAGACTGATAGCAGTCATTTAAATATGACTTTCCCCTTTTCCCCAGAACCATCTATGAAAAGCTTGCTAGTGCTTTTACTGAGGAACAGGCTGTATTATATAATCAGCGAGTGGAAGAGATTTCACCCAACATACGCTATTGTGCCTACAATATTGGTAAGCAAAGTATTAAAATAAGACCACCTATTTTAACTTTAGGCTCATCAGCAAGAATAGTAGTCGTTCAGTCCCATTGGTGTTTAGAATTTACTTAAACTTTTCCCTTCAGCATTGGCATATTATAATTCCAACATAAATGTAGAAGTCAGCTATGTTAGTGGATACAGAAGAAAACTTCATTTTCTTTCTTGCTACACTTTTATACCATCTTGAATAATGTCCTTGCACTGCATGATTCATCCATTTTTTAAGAGTAACTGATTATCTCATTCCAGTTCATGCTTTATAAAAGAATAAGCCTTTGGATCATTGGTTAGTCTTATTACTTGAAACATTTAAATGTGTTTAATCTCTACTGGAGCTTGTATAAAATCCTTTTAAAGTCTGTTTGAATCTAGAGAGTCATTGAAACCATTGAGTAGAATTTTAGCGATCTTCAGTTCTTTCTTTCTCTTAGGGGACCAGTCAGCTATTAGCGAATTGATGCAGATGAGGCTGAGATCTGGTGGCACTGAGGGTCTTTTGGCTGAGAAATTGGAGGTAATTCACTATGTATATTTTTTTAATGTTTAAGGCTTTCATAAGCTAAGTGCTTTGTGAGCATCACAAAGGAACTTCTTTTATGTATCATAAGCAGGTACTTTAGGAACGCATCCAAACGTATTTCTAGAATGTGTAAGTATGTGTACAACACAAAGCAGTGTACTTCGTTTACCACATCATTTGCTGTCCCTTACATAAAAGACTGAGCTGCCTTTCTTTTTTTTTTTTAATTTCCTAGTCATTGATCACCCAGACTCGAGCCAAGCAGGCAGCCACCATGAGTGAAGTGGAGTGGAGAGGGAGAGCTGTTCCAGTCAAGATTGACAAAGTGAGGATCTTCTTACTGGGGCTGGCTGACAACGAAGCAGCCATCAGTCAGGTAAAAACGGAAGTTCCACTTTTTTCCCTGCTTTTTGGGGGGGTGAGTGGGGAGAGGGTGGAGTATATATAAAAGTCATTTTAATCAACAGACATTTATTAAGCATTTATTGTGTTCACACCTGCCTTCGAGGAGCTTGCAGTCTAACATGGGGGAAAAGGTGGGGAGACAGCAAATAGAAATCAGAATGTACAAGATAATAACAGTAGGTAGGAGATTTATGCATGACACAGTAGTTTTGACTTTGTTGAATCCACATATGCATTACCTATTAAACTTTTTTGGGCAGCGAGGTGGATAGAGTGCTGGGTCTGGAGTCAGGAAGACTTGAGTTCAAATCCAGCCTCAGACATTTCCTAGCTGTGTGACCCTAGGCAAGTCACCTAACCTTGTTTGCCTCAGTTTCCTCATCTGTAAAATGAGCTGGAAAAGGAAATGGCAAACCACTTTATCTTTGCCAAGAAAACCCCAAATGGGGTCATGAAGAGTTGGACACAATTGAAATGACTGAACAACAACAGCAACAATTAGACTTTTTTGGTAAATCTTTTTGGTGAAGTTAGTCAGTCTCAAAGATCACACCTGAAGCCTTGGATTTCAAGACTTCTTATGCTTCGTTCAAATATAGTGCCCTCATTCTTCTTTGCCTAGGAGTTGTAAACATGGAGTAAGAACATTGTTAGGTATGGGGAGAGTTTTCTGTGATTTGAGGAGGAATGAATGATGGCAGAGATAGAATCATAAGACTAAGAAAATATTGCAGATTACCCTCAGTATTAAAATCTTCAACATTTGAGAATGTCATAGCCGAAAGGCAGAGATTATACATTGAAGCAAAAATACTGCAAATATCCAGAACACAGCAAGAAATATTGAACAAAATTAAAAGATTTAGAAAAATAGAAGAAAATATCAGATATTTGATATAAAATAAAAACAGTTGATCTGGAAAATAGATCAAAAAGATAATTTAAGAAACACCATAGTGCCTGAAAATCTAATTATTTTTAAAGCCTAGACACTGTATTTGAAGAAATAACAATAAATGAAAACTACCCAAATCTATTAGAATCAAGGGGCAAAGTGAAGATAGGAAGAGTCCACTGAGAACCTTCTGAAAGAAATGCCAAACTGAAAACATTTGAGAATGTCATAGCCAAAAGGCAGATATTCCACATCAAAGCAAAAATACTGCAAATATCCAGAACAAAATGGTTCAAGCACCAAGGGACCACAGTCGGAATTACATAAAACTTGGCAGCTTCTATTATTATAAAATAAGGGGAGATCTTAGAATATATGCCTCTAAAAGATAAAATGCAAAGTCTTTACAACGAAGAATAACTTCCCCCTTCCAAATCAAGCAGAATCCTACAGGGGAAAATGGATCTTTACCGGAATAGAAGAATTTCAAGCTTTTCTGATAAAAAGATCAGAACTGAGTAGGAACTTTTAATTGTAAATATGACAGTTCAGAGAACTCTGTGAAGGTACATTTATTTGAGCATTTGGAAAGAGCTGTATGATAATAAAGTGCTGACATTCGATTAGGAAGAGAAATAATTAAGTGTCCCTTCAGAACCTTAATATCTTCAAAGGTTATTAAGGGAATCATCGCATAAGAAAAACAGAGGTCCTCAGATCTGGATTGTTTCTATTAAAATCTGAAGAGGGAAAAGAGAAGGGAAGCTAAAAGGAATATACTAGGAAGGAGAAAGAAGGAGAGAAAACTAGTATGACATGGAGATTCATGGTTTAATAGAAAATCTTTTTGTATTCTGCTATGTGTATGGAAATGAGAAAAAACATTCCCTCTTTTTCCTTTGGTATTTAAATTCAAAATTTGAAAAAGAAGAAAGGGATTGATTAGAATGGGAAGACAAGTTAGAGCATATTGAAATAGTAGCAGATGGTTATGAGGGTCATTATTAGAGTGGCCATATTAGAAACAGGGAACAAATGGAAAAAATATTGTAGAAGTAGAATCATTAGGGGTTTATTAACTAATAGAAAATGAGAGGTAAAGGAGTTGGAAAAAGTCAAAGATAACCACCAAGATTTCAGAAATTGGAAACTGGGTCAGTGGTGTTACCATCAATAGAAAGTAGTGAAATAAGAAGGAACCAGTCAAGCGAGTAGCATTTGATGTGCTAGTGAAACATTCCAATGGAAATGTTCAATAGGTAGTTACAAGAAGTGGGTCTGACGCTCAAAAGTGAAGTCAGAGCTAGAGATAGAGATTTAGGAATTATTTTCATAAAGCTCATAGTTTTAGTTCATGGGGATGAATCAGATTCCCAAAAATGAGATAAAAGCTAATACTCCTTAGTGTTGGTTCCAAGAGCCGTATTCTTAAATAAAATCAGCCTTTCCCCATCTGATGGCTACCCGGTGTTTTCAGTTTTTTTGTGTAACACTTATTCAAAAGTGAAAAAGGTATATCTATTAATTATAGGAGACCCTGTCATCAATATTGGGAATGGTTGATAATCTTGGAAATTTCATCTTCACATAAGAATCCTGGTATTTATTGAGACAAGTAATTGGTCAGTAACGTTTAGTCTAAAAATTGGAAAGGTGAGGGAGAGTCTAATGGCCTATGTGATCTTGAAGAAGCCATTTTGTTTCTTGGGACCTTTATTTTCTCTTAGGTAAAATGTAGGAGTTGTATTAGGCTGTATCTAAGGTTGACCATAGCTCTGATCCTAAAACTGATGCTGACTAATGTCCTGTGCCCAGTAGGTGGTGCAGTGGCTCACTGTTTGTTTGTTTCTTCTTCCTCTTATCTAAAGGAGCAATGGAGGTATACCCTTTTCTGTCCGTTTATCCTTTGGTTTCTTGGAAAAATAAGTCTCTCTTTTCTCTTTTCCTTGAGAGAGTATATTCAGAATAGAATATTTTCCTGTCCTAGCCATACTATTTGTATTTCTTCATAGATTGACCTTTATATTTGAAGCTAATGTTACATGGTGATGATTGCTGCCGATGATAGAATTAAGGCTCCCATTTATCCTCTGTTGAGCCTGTTTTGGGTTAAGCTGATAATGTGTAGGGTAGGTTTATTAAACTGAGGGTCTAATCTGGAATAAATCATACTCCTTCAAGAGGACTGCCTAAATTGACAGATGCCACTGAATGATCAATGAAGGGGTAGGAGAGACAATGTCTAGGGCCATCTACTTGTACAGAATTCTTTGCATTGAGAAATCTTATTTCATCTGTGGTCAGAAAGCATACTTTTCGTTATGCTTCTTTAGCAATAGACCTGAAATTATTCACATCTGCTATGTGTGATATTATTTTCCATTGTCACCTGCTTAATCAGAGACCCAAGGGAAAAAAGTGAAAGAAGAGCACTGGAGAATCTTAGGTAACTCTCCTGTTTTTTAGATGAGTATAAACTTGATATTAATTAATCATAACCATTTATGCCTTTTTTTCTCTTACAAAATAATACATTCTTGTAGACCTTATTGACTTAAAGAAAGTGTTCTTAGGCCAGAGAGATAAAAGGGTCCTATACCTACCAGAATAGTTGTAGCAGCACTTGTAGTAGCAAAGAACTGGAAACAAAGTGATGCCCATTGATTAGGGGAATGGCTAAACAAACTGTGGTACATGAATGTAAATATGTAATTACTTCACTCTGAGAAATGATTAATATGAGTAATGGGAAGCATGGGAAGACTTATGAAATGATTCAAAATGAAAAGTGTTGCTTTTCAGTCATTTCAATTGTGTCTGACCCTCTGTGACCATATTTGGGTTTTCTTGGTAAAGACACTGGAGTGGTTTGCCATTTCCTTCTCCAGCTCATTTTACAGATGAGAAAACTGAGGCAAACAGGCTTGAGTGAATTGCCCAGGGTCACACAGCTAGTAAGTGTCTGAGGCCAGATTTGAACACTGAAAGATGAGCCTTTCTGACTCCAGATCCAGCATTCTATCTACTGTGCCACCTAGCTACCCCAAATGAAAAGTAAGTTGAACCATGAAACTGATATATACAAGGACTGCAGGATTGTTAATGCTAAGACTAAGTTCTTTCTCTGACACACCCTGGCTCTGTGACCATGGGCAAGTGATTTAACCTCTCAGTGCCCCAGCTAACTTTTTAAAACTACAAGTTATAGATGACTTGTCTGTCTGTATTAGTGGAGCAGTTTCCACACTGGGTGTTCCTATATTGATTAAATCCCAGGTATAGGCACTCCTCCTTTGTAAAATTCATATACGTCAACAATAAATAACTTTAAATTTGAAATTATTCAGTTAAATTTGTTGTCATAGCAGACCATGGAGATCAGTAAAACTTACAATTTAGGAGAGACCAAGACGAGTAGCCTAGTTAAGCAGGAAGGGCCTAGGTAGGCAAAGGATCAAGGCCAATGTGCCTTTTAGTGTAAGGAAGAGCAAGTGATTATTAAAGATTTAGCAGGGGAAAAGTTTGGGATACCTTGGTTTAAGCAAGATGAGTCCAACTTCTGTAAAAAACCAGTACCTTTAAAGTAGCAGAAAAGAATCATGAGTTCAGAGATGTGAGCCAAGTTCAAGGTCTCCAAAGATCAATAAAGGCAAAGAAAAACAAGTGGATCAACACGAGATGAACCAGCAAAAACGGTATTTTATCTCTGACTCTAGAGCAAAATATATTTACTCTCAGTCTTGGTTTATGTTCTTTGTTGCATAGGCAGGCAGGGAAGGTTTGCAGCCAGGAACAGCTGGATGGAGAAAGAGTCCTGAAATCAATTCATGTCATTTCTTTGTGGATTATTTCTATATTAGCTTCCCTATTTTGTTTGTTTCTTTCCCCACTTCTGTTAATACTGAATTAGACTAGAGAAAAAAAAAAGATTAAAGTATCTGTGAAAGGGACTATTAATTTAGGTAATTACTTCAGTAGTCTGAATCCAGGCATGACTTAAAAAAAAAACCTCTTATCAGACCTACTTTTCTAATGTGTTATTACTCTTAAGCCTTAGGTTTGTTCTAGCTAAAAGA